TTTTGTCAACCCATAATGCCCTACTTTGATCGAACTTAAGAACCTTAAAGCCTCTAAATTGTCAAAAACAGCCTTTTCAAAGTCTTTTAGACAATAATGCCCCCTTGTAACAAGCAAATATTTTAAATTTTAGACCACCCCAAGTTTTCCTCCAGTTCAAGTGTGGATCCAGCACTAGTGCACTAATTTGCATGACACAAGAAAACTGCTAAAAATAATCACTTTGTTTTGTCAAGCAAATTAGTGCACTAGTACTGGATCCACCCCTCTCCAGTTAATGCAATACAATTAATTAACAGTCCCTATAAACCAGTAAGCTATACTGTGCCTGTATAAACATGGGTGCTAACTAAATTTTGTCAGTCATATTCAAATATTTATATATCAACTGAAATTGTTTTTATACATATTAGAATGAATTTATTTCGTGCCTTTTTAATATAAATAGTAAAATATGCACCAGGTGTATAAAAAGACATGTGAATATTTAATACATTTAAATATTTATACATATTCATTAAATTTAGAATTATGGATGCAATTGACAATAATCGATTTCAAATACAACAACTGCTACTTTTAGAAAGTTGAAAATATTTTTATTGGATGGATAGTATTTATAAAAAGATTTTATATTAAAGGTAGGTTACAGTCGCTTCAGCGCATGTGCCTGCTTTGTTTACATTTTTTTGTTATGATACACTTTGTTTCATATAACACCAAGTACTGCGTACATATCAAATTATAATTACTCCGCCTGCGTATGCGCAGCGGAGTCTTAAAATGCCATGGTCTTTTTTCCTTTTTGTCGTTTTGGGCGACAGAAGTTGGCATTTCTACAGCTAACCCAAAACATTTTGACCGAGAAGCCCTGAGTTACACGGATGAATTATGTACATCAGTTGGCATTTAGGGACGTTTGGGGTAATTTTGTGCAATGTTTATTTTTCTTTGTGGCCTTGTGCCTCGTGTTCGAATCGACGTTCTTCCCTTGTGAAAAATTGAAAAATATGAATGTCGAATTGAAAGAGTTCTCACAACTATGTTCAACAACTACAAAGGTAAGTTGTTAAGATTTAGATTATATTCATATGCTGTGGCGGTAATAGTACACCCAAGATTTTCTGTTTTATAGTTGATTTAGTGATTCACGTTGTTTAGCGACCCTGCATGTTTAAGAATTCGATATTTCTATTTACTTGAGTCTATTTTAAAGCCGGTTTTATAAAATGCCTCAATTCGGCAATGAATTTTTATATGAAACATGTTTCTTTGCAATTGGTTTCACAGAATCAAAAATGGCCTAGTTGTGTCGTATTTCAGATAACACCAAGATATTCTTTTATCACAAATATAAATGTACATATTATTACAAAGCCTGGTCGAATTGTAATCAGGACCCAACATTTTGACAGTCCAGTCTACTGTCTTCATCAGGGGTGATCTAAAGCTGGAATCAAAGCTTCTTAAATAACCAAGGGATGATGTCACCTGCCAATGAGACGCATATATTCCTTTGGCAAATAGCCACCGTCATCCTTATTCAGAGCATGATTACTCATCTTTATATTCTACGCTTCTAGGCAAAGTCTTTGACCATATCGATTGTTAGTGGTAATTATTTTTTCCCTTGGCAGAGCACCTGTGTGACATCAAACACAAGATTGCATGGGAAAACTCTAAAGTAATTACCACTAACAATCGAAACATGGTCGAAGACTTTGCCTAAAAGCGTGGCATATAAATATGAGTAATCATGCTCTGAATAGGGACGACAGTGCCCATTTGCCAGAGGAATATATGCCTCTTATTGGCAGGTGACATCATCCCTTGGGTATGATGTCAGATCACCCCTGATGAAGACAGTAGACTGGACTGTCGAAACTTTAGGTCCTGATTACAATGTGACCAGGCTTTGTGATCATTTATATAAACCAGAGTAGCGAGCGATAACAGGGTTAAAAGGGGGTATTAAAACTGTTCCTATTACAGGATTGATTTGCCAAACTTATAAAACCCTATTTTTGTTCTAATTTCCAGGTTTTGGTGCTCATTTGCAGGAAGTTGCAAAAAAAATTAATGTCCCTGAGTGTGTGTGCATTCCATGAATGCACATTTGAATACCAAGTCACATTCAAATACCAAGTCACATTTGTATACCAAGTCACATTTGAATACCAAGTCACATTTGAATGCCAACTTAACTTTGAATGCCAACTTACCTTTGAATGCCAACAATGAAGTTACAATGAATAAAGTTATATTAATTAATAAAGTTACATCAGTAAACAAAGTTAAGCAACTGAATGAAGTTACATCATTAAATAAAGTTACATCAATGAATAAATATGCATTAATGAATAATTTCATATTAATGAATACAAAATGTATAACAAAAAATCCCAAAAGTATGACATCCAACAGTACAAAAAGCAAAATCACCTTATTTTGTGACCTTTTGTCACCTTCTGTAGTTTCCTCACCTGCAGGCGGAGTGAATGCCTTGAGCAGGCGTCTTGTTTACACCAAAGATGGCAATGAGTGAAACCAAAACAACTACAATAAATCGTATTTGTACATCTCTTGAAAGCGGAATTGTACTTTTGCAAAACTGTTTGAGGAACTTGAATTACTGTATGTCACTACATTTATTATAACAGCTGGAGCGTCTTCTAAATGCCGAAAGGACGAAGGTGTGATATCGAATCAATCGGAATCCATTGATCGAACTAATATTGTTTAATTTTGGAGTTAATGACTTTAATGTGTTATATATGCTTTTAATCATGGAACCTCTTGTGCGGTATATTTATCCTCTAAACATCTTGGCAGTATTGTTGTTGCTGTCATGGCTGAAGCAATGGATGAAAGTCTTGCGCTTGACGAATTCGAATCAAGTTTTATTGAAAATGCTGCCGCACAACCAAACGTTGACAGGGTAACGAAATGCAATTGTAACGGTCATTGCCTGCGAGAAAAAGGATAGCTACTGCTCCAGTGCTTGTCACGGCGAAGACTTCAGCTATTGCATGAACAATAGAAGAGTTCAGGAAAGCAATAGTGAGGAAGAGGTACGTATAAATTAGTGTTTAGATTAAATAAGGTGATAAAGTTCTGACTTTACAGATATATTTTATCTATAAATAATTTTTTTTATTTATTCATGTCTCTGGAATATTAATTGTGATTTCCTATTTTGTTTTCATGCTTTAGGATTCTGATTCTTTCACACAAGGGGATCATACTGATAGTGAATCTGATGATGATGGAGCAGAAAGAAATAGAGGAAGAGGCAGGGGAAGAGGCAGAGGACGTGCAAGAGGAAGAGGCAGAGGACGTGCAAGAGGTCAACCTAGGGGGAGAGGTCGTGGGAGGGGGCGATTGAATGAAGAGGGAAATGCTGCTGAAAATCAAGCAAACCATGAACAGGAGTTGGTGGTAACTGCCTTTTTTATTTCTCTCCACTTGAATAGAGCTCTTTAAAATGATACTTTTTGTATATTATTTTAGTACATGATCATTTGCTAGTTATATTCAAATCTATTTTGTTTATTTAGAATCTAGTGGAGGCAATGGATATAAACAGATTACGAATATTGGCCATTGAACTCCTTAGGAGACAGCCTGCTGCTTATGCTGATGTGGTGAATGGAGAGTTGATGCATGGGGATGGCTTCCAACCTGATCCAGAACCAGGCAATGATCAACCGGAGTGGTGTAATTGTGGACATTGTGTCAATATGCCAACTCAAGATGAAAACAAGTGCTGTGCTCGAGTGAGACGTCCATGCATATCTAGGACCAACCTGTTTAGACAATTAATATTAGATGCTAATGTTTTAGAACTGCAAATGAGGTACAGGGAGGATGTTTTAGTCCTAGACAACCAAAGAAACAATGAAAACTTTCGTCACGCAGCATATAGACAATATGTTCTATGGCAACATGGATGGTTGGGAAGAGGAAACAGAAGAGTTGTTCCCAGCTGTTGTGTCTTGGCAATTCGTTCACGGTATCCTTCACCTAACGGTATATATACAGGTTATATGCCTGCCCGGGTGTAGTCGTATTATAATTAGATAGGAGTTTGTATATATATTTTCACTCATAGTCTATAGAATGTACATGGTGGCAGAAAGGGAGATAAACTCATCTATATAGGTGAAAATTTGTGCAGATACATAATGTGATGCAATTATAATTCTCGACTATAACCATTTTTCTATTGTGAACAGTTGAGCCATACCAATGTTATTGAGAGAGATACATTATGTAGCTAATAGACACATGTTCTTGAACCTATTCATACTGAAGACAAAGACATGGATACAATTATCTATTTCTTAATCATGTACAATATTCAATAGACTATGATACAGTTTAGGCTAGCACAATGCACTTTGGGATTGTTTATATAAATTTAAGTTTACATAATCATGTTTTAAATTTTAATTACTTTTATGGCTGTTTCGCTCTATATCAGAGCTCATCAGCATGCCTAGGACGTGTTGATGAAATAAAATTTTGATAACATCAATGAGTCCGACATGGACAGCCTGGCCCGAAAGGGTCTGGGGGTTTGAAATCAGAGTTTTCCTTCTCTTAGATGGACTGCCTACCATGGCTAATGAGCTCCATCTACCTGAAGTTTTTAGGTTTAGTTTAATCAAAACCTAGTTGTGTGTTTTTCAACAAGAGACTGAACTGAAGGCGGAGGAAGTGCAGCTATATTGGGGGCAATCCTTCTTGGGTCATCACTATCCAAACCAATTCTCCTGTCTATGGTTCCCTTTGAACTGATCCTTTTTGCAAAGACCTTGAGCAAGAGGTCAGGAATATATGTATATTCCTTTGGCACTAGAACTCTTGTTCTGCACCACTGCTTTGCTTGCTTGCTGTATTTACGTCCATACCTAGAAAATAAAACCCCAGAATGTTGAAGTGGCTAAAAAATTGGTAGAGCTGCATACTAATACATTAAAAAGCATAAAACAATCCACTTACTTTGGTTCACCATCAGCTGTAGTTGCAAATGCTCTACCTCTGTGGCAATTAAAATCTATGGCAGCCAGAAGGTTCCTTGCTTTGTATACTGGGTTTCTGCAAAAAAAGGAATAGCTTCTTATGTCATTTGAACTGTGTATTTGAAGTAAAGTACTGTTTGAGATTTTTCAGCTGTAACATTTTTTATTACTAACGAATAAGCCTGTCGTTTGGCAGCATACATCAAAATCACATTGTGATACGACTCTAAGAATCCAGTGTGTCTAAAAATATATTTAAAAAAAAATAAAATTTTTGTATACATGTTTTCATAAAATACAATAAAACATAGTGTGACAAATATTACCTAAAATTGACATAATAGATCAATGTGTTTAAGAATCGAACATCCAACACAATCTTTGCAAGAGCTTTATGTGCAGTTGACTCCTTTTTCAACCAGGGTTTTGTTCTTGCTTCATCGCCAAGTGGGTCATGGCCACATTTCCCTCCGTTAATGCCCTCCTCAATAACCCATTCATGTTCATTCACAACATGGTGAAGAATACCAATCCATTTGTCCTGTTGAAGGAAATAATGTATAATGCATGTGAGTTGCTCACTTTCTAAAAGTAAAACTATTGCTATATTAATTATAATAACTTGTAGGTACACCACGTAAGTATTAAATACTGCAAAGCTTTCGGTCCGTTAACCCGGACCTTCATCAGTGCAATTACTTGAATACACGTTTGCGCGTCACTTAAATATCATGTTAGTCGTGATTAGTTTGCTCGCGCTATTAATTAAACGGTTTCATTTAATTAAGTTCTAACTAATGCGCGCGCCCTAGACAAGTATTTGACTAAGAGACACCGAAAAGAGCACGCCACGTACTATTAAGTGGCTTTCCCTCTTGGACGATAGTTTGATGTTTATAAATTTCAATAGATTCTCTCATTTTACGAGAGACAGTAAACTTATCGTTTGCTAAAATGGTAGCATCGTTCCATTTAATGCGATGATCATAAGTCCATGCATGGTGAGCTACTGCAGACTTATCCAGTTTACCTTTCTCGCAGTTCGTCTTATGTTCTTTAAGACGTATTGAGAGATTTCTACCGGTAAACTGGATAAGTCTGCAGTAGCTCACCATGCATGGACTTATGATCATCGCATTAAATGGAACGATGCTACCATTTTAGCAAACGATAAGTTTACTGTCTCTCGTAAAATGAGAGAATCTATTGAAATTTATAAACATCAAACTATCGTCCAAGAGGGAAAGCCACTTAATAGTACGTGGCGTGCTCTTTTCGGTGTCTCTTAGTCAAATACTTGTCTAGGGCGCGCGCATTAGTTAGAACTTAATTAAATGAAACCGTTTAATTAATAGCGCGAGCAAACTAATCACGACTAACATGATATTTAAGTGACGCGCAAACGTGTATTCAAGTAATTGCACTGATGAAGGTCCGGGTTAACGGACCGAAAGCTTTGCAGTATTTAATACTTACGTGGTGTACCTACAAGTTATTATAATTACTAAAGTCGCCATGCAATCATACAAGAAAATTATTATTGCTATATTGTTAGCAATACTTCAGGCTTACCTTGAAATTCTTGGAATTGTTATCACAGGTCTTTGCACAGTGCCAGAAGTGATTTCGGATGGATGGTACCCAAAGTAGCAACTGATCATTTCCTTTAGCCTTAGCTGCCTAAAAAGCAATCATAGATTTGTTTATATTTCTTTCACACACTATATGAATAGAACAACTGATTAAAAAAAGTAATTCTTCTATTGTATACATACAGCATTCACTTTTTTTGTGATGTTTTTTGCACCATGCCACACATCATTCTGATGCACAACTTCTTTGTACTTGCTTTCCCTTTCTGAAAACATGTTTAAATCACATACAGCAATTTAAGAATAGCATAATGATAAAAGAAAATGCTTAGCAACTCTATTTAGTTTAATAATATAGTCCTGTTCATAGAATATATAGACGGTCACACACTACAAATAAAGGACACATACTCATCAATGCGGCAATCTCCAGGTGGCCATCTGTCACAACTTCTTTTAAAATCATTGGTGAGGCAAGCAGTGCATCCATTCCTCTCTCAAACCCTATTCTTTCCATATTATTACTTTTCCCTGCTTCTTCCCTCACATCAATGATGTTGACTTGTACAATTGCTCTGTCCTGTGTGTCTGCCAAACTGTATGTACAGTACTGTGCGCTGTGCCCTGGTGAATCATTTCTACCATCACCACTCAATATGGTTTCTTTGCCAGCTTTCTTATTCCATAACTTCTGTTGGTGTTCACTCCAGTACTCATTTATAGCAGGGATGATGTATAACCTCTGGTACTGATTAAATAGCGTTGATGAAAAATATTGCAGGTTACAGAAGTTAAACATCAGCCCTACTTTGGTGTAGGAGTTCCCAGATAATAATAATGCTGATGCAAGCATCAGATTTCCTGCTCTCAATTTATCACAGGATGGTTGAGCAGCCCATCGTCCACCAAAATGACCAGCATTACTACTCCAGGAAACAACAAGGCATGTCCCAATATATGTCTTCCTATATTCTAAGACACGAGCACACCCTTCTCGTTTACAAACAGACCCATGTAACGAAGCTAAAAGTGACATGAGGATGTCTGTAAAGACAATGCACTTCTCCATTTTGATTGCTTCAGCTGGACTGATCACCTCCACCGTTGACCTGTATCCTGTTGGTATAGTGCTACCTGTTGTTATAGTGCCATCATCATCATCTGGATTATCTCCATCATTATCATCATGTCCTTCTATTGTTACATTCAGGTTATCATCATGTAAAGGGTCTTCTGATCCAGTAATTGTTCTGAAACATGTTTGACAACAAGACATGAAATGAAATGCTCTTAAATGCACATTGTATAAAGATATTAATAAGAACTCTTTGCCTATTGATAAAATCCACTTACTCAGAGCTTTCACCGCAAGGATTATCCAGGTCATCAAGACTTGAATCACTATCCCCCTCTCTTTCACTTGCAGTAATTGTATCTTCCATTAATGAAGACCTTAATAGTACCATAAAAAGAATGTATAAACAACAATGCACCAACATATATAAGCTATATGTATAAAAAAATGACCCAACCTTTGTGTTTTCGCAGCATGTGGTGAACTGTCAACATCAGACAACAATCTTTTTCTCGCTGATGATAGTGGGGTTGAGGAGGAAACTTGGCAAGAGAAAAAAAAATAGCATGTTATTACCGTTATTCAAGCTTTTTAGGGTTGTCTGTAAATGATATAATATGAAACAACTGAACAGAAATTCACTCACGTGGCGACGATAATCTTGTTGTAATTTGAGGTCTAATTGTCACATTTTCGGACGCGTCCATTGTTTGAGTTTCAACGTGGCTAAAATATATACAAATTCCAGGCTGAAAAAAACTGTTAAATTAAGAGTATTCTAACACCAATCTAATATATCCTTATATCTTACCATGTTTTCTTAGCTGACACTTTTGCGTACAAATCAAGCAGCATCTCAGCAACTTGTTCGTCTGTTTTTAACTGGTTCTCTTCTTTTACCGCTTTCCACCTATCAAAAGTTTCAAGGAGGCAAACCTTTGTAGCATTTCGCTTTGCAAAATACTCTTTTCTCTTCGATTCTTTCTTTTTTTCACCGCCAGAAGTGGGATTTGTCGATCAACTCGAAGGTTGTGGCTCCTGTAAGTCCGCCATCTTACTCGAGTAATAAGTAGACTGCGCGCAAACTTGATAATGAAGACTGGGACGACTCAAAATGTAAACAAAAGTGTGAGCACACTTCGCATATGCGCAGAAGCGACTGTAACCTACCTTTAAGGATATATTTTAATAGATTTTACTCACCTTTGTTTCCACGTGCTGTCAAACGCTATAAAGACGCCAGAAAGGACAAAAGCGGATGCGGATACGGGAATCAAAAACAAAGCCTGGGTTTCCGGACCCAATTCCGGTTGACTCCAGGCTTCATATTTCAAAACGCGTGTCAAATCGCCAGCACCCGGGGAAAAGTCTTTGTCAAATGCCCGTCTGAGGGGATAGAATTCACAGTCAAATTCCCGTCTTCTGCCCGCACCCTTACCCCCCGGGATTAACATTGATAGGTGCATAATATCCTCTGACAGATAAAATACAAATGAAATTTATTTTCTCATATGAATAAAGAATCCCCAAACATCTGAACACCAAAAGCTATCCATATCAATCCACCTGCATGCATAATTAATTAATAAAATCTATTTTGCTAAAATTACAAATTCTATATTCATAAACCACTTCTCTAACCCACACCCATTTCTGAAAACATTTATTGTTCTCCATCTCAGTTGATCTAAATTCTATTTGTCAGTAATATCTTTTATCATAGATTGTAAAACGAAGTATTTTAAGTTAAGTTGTTTTACCTCATTTCTCCAGAAGACCTGACTTGATGATTTATGAAGTGATGGAATCATGAAAAAGATAAGCAATTCAAACACTCATCTTTCCAACCACAATGGCAATGACTCTGCAAGCAATTTTTAAATGGTTGATCACAACTGATTGCTTGAAAATAATCCTTGTAGAATTTCCACCAATTCTCTTTGTGCAAAGGACTCTTACTCATTTCTTTTTTAATTGACCAAATTTGAAAGGAATAAGCATGACCATCCTTACTTTCTCAGGTCGTTGACTTTTTTCAACTCTATGCTCCCCATCTTTCATATTATTACATGAATGACCATATAAATACATACCTCTAGTTTCATAATATGGTAAAAAGCAAAAATAATTTTTAAACAAAAATTTTCCATAATCCTATTGCTATTTATACTTTAAAACAGATGTTAAATTTGGCATAGCGAAGATATATTTATTTTTCAATTGGGACTTTACTAACAAATGTGTTAAGCAAATTAACCCTGCAATTTGATTGTGGATTTCCTTTGAAAAACTTGAAAAATTATAAGCCAAAAAAAAATTCCATTAAAAATATTTTTTGAAATGGGTTTAATCTATAACTTTTTCAATATGTTCGTTTGAAAAAATATGAAAGGGAAAAAATATAAGGCATTTTTTAAAATTTTTATAACTGCAAACAAAAACTGAAACTTTTCATAATTTTCATTATCCAACATTCAAAATTTCCAACTTGAGAAAATGATACAAATCCTTCAACTTCGTTACTTCTTTGAATTTCACGAACTTTTCTTTCAAAGTCATCCTCTGTCCACCCAAAATAAAAGGGTAATGCAATAAACACAAATGATGCAATTGCTTTTTTTTTATATATCTATATCCAGTGGTTTCAAATAAATGAATGCAAGATCAACTAACTTTAAGAACATATATCCCTTTCAATATACCCACCCTTGAAGGCCAAAAAATTTATCATCTGAATATTTTTGTTTAAAAAAGGAAATTAGTGTTGAGTAATATCTGAAAGAGTATTTTTACTCCGGCGCCAGAGACGAAGTTGAAAATTCACCCCAGTTTTTTTTTTCGTTGTCGCAAGTCTGAAATGGCGCGAAACATTCTAGTATTTAAAATGTGTATGTGATCGTATTTATTTACGTTCCAGTCTTATCTCCCACGAGTTGTGGTGCACAGCTTTGGCTAATTTTCCGATGCGCAATTCAATTCCACTTGCATGATACGGCAATTCCTCCAAGAGGAACAAATAAACCGTTGTTTTCATGCTGTTCGATTAAGTCTAAATTGAATTGGAGTAAGAATATATTTAATATGTGTAGATTCTGGTCCTATTTTAATAATATCGCTGCTATTTTGCCGTTTAACAAGATGATGTGGTCGTGTATGGGCGCGTTGACACGTCGTAGTTTGCACAGGATTGAAGATTTAATATATAAGTGTGAATTCCAAAGGCTAAGTGTAAGACAAAGTGAATGTATCGAGCGGTTTGTTTACAATTTTGAACAATTGAACTTCTATACTTTTTAAAGTACGATGTGCTTCTCAATTTCGCGATTAAACATTTAGGTTCACAAGGCATCTAAATGCGAATATGAACTGTATTGTTTATGTTCAGTTATATACATAGTTGCCAAGTTTTGAAAAAAAAACTCAGATTATAGTTTTTTCTTAATTTGGAGCCAGCGTCATAGACATAGGTTTTTAGAAGGCTAGAGCACACAAAAAATTTCAAATTTAGGGTCCCGGAAATTTGATATTGTTTCGAAAAAACAATTTGAAACAAGAAAATTTTTATTTGAAATTTTTGACTAATTCCCGAGGCCGCGCAGAGCGCCATGCAAGGGTACTAATTCCGCTGGGAGAATTATTACACCCGGGTATTGTGACAGAACATAGCTGAATCCAAAGTTGCTCAAATTCTTTGTCATGAACGGTCGACCTTGGGTGGTTTTCTTAGATATGCGCATGCGTGAAATTTTGAACAAGTAAACACTGGTAACCAGTATCATCCTGATTGGCCAAGACAAAATGTTTATATTTAAAATACAGCATCAGCGATTTAACTGTCTTTTTAACCAGAGAGGTGCTGAAATCACCTAACGCTCGCCTGCACTGTTTGTCTAGAATAAGGCTAAACTCTGTATGAAAGGTATCTGTATGAAGCACAAATTACCGATCTTTTTATTACAAATTACAAGGCTAAAATCCGCGTTGGAAGGTAATATTAAGCACAAACTTCAGATATTAGTTGTGACCTCAGAATTACTGGCCAAAACTGGCCTCGGAATTACATTAGTTTTATTTGTGACCAATATTTCTTCCGTTTCTCGCAATCCGCGAACGTGATATCAACAGGTAAGTTAACGGACCAGGCAAAAGTCTCTGCTTTAAGCCGGGCGCACACACAACGATTTTACGGTAGTTGGTCCATTCAGGTTTAGACATATAGGCAGCCCTTGCCCAGACATGTTTTCCTCGCGCGCCGCGCGTGTACGCGAGTCTACTTGGTCTAATATTATGACCAAGTATGGATCGCCAGTCGCCACATTTTGATGAAAACATCCATTTAGACAATCTAGACAGGAATCGGCCGACTAAAATCGTCGTGTGTGCGCCTAGCTTTATGAAATAAACAAGATTGGATTTTTATATCTACACAAAAAAGGATTATGCATCAAACAACGAAAAGGTATGTACAAAATTCTTATAGGTGCTTTAATAATATATTTGCATGTGTATCTACATAAATAATATGCAAATATATGTCACATGCGTTGCCATTTGCCTTTGCATTCCGCTTAGCCTATCGGCTTTCTACTTATAAATACTTATGTGCAAAAGCTTGTAATTGCGAATTATCTGACAATATTCTTTAAACTTTAACGTTGGACTATGTTTTATATATTTTCACTCCCTGAATGATTTCTATATTAAGCGATTGAATTTTGATACGGCATGTCACAACACAATCTCATAATTTATAATTGTACATGTACAATACAAACAAATGGTAGCATACAGGTGAAAATATTTGAAAGTTTCTCATTTGGCTTAGGGTTGTACAAATAGTTTCGTTAAATATGATTCAGCTACAACTTTGAACTAAAAAAAAACAGGGCTACACAATAGCCATGAAAATCGTAATGAGCGTGATAACTCTGGATAACTCTAACATTGACCTTATCATGATGCTAATAAGCTTAACATTTGCCTTATCGTTTGATAATTTTGAGCAAAGCTCTCTTTATTATTGTATAAATGTGTACCAAATGGCACTGAATAGTCACAATGCATATCGATGACTTATATTTATGATGATTCCTCTGATGTAAAACCATAATATTTAAAAAATATAGCATCTTAACATTGACCTTATCATTATGCTAATTAGCTTAACATTCACCTTATCATTTGATAATTTTGAACAAAATTCCCATTATTTTTGTGTAAATGTGTACTAAATGTCACCATATAGTCACAAGACATATCGATGAGCTATATTTATGATGAATCTTCTGATGCAAAGCCAAAATATTTAAAAAATATAACATCTTAACATTGACCTTATCATTATGCTAATTAGCTTAACATTCACCTTATCATTTGATAATTTTGAGCAAAACTCTCTTTATTATTGTATAAATGTGTACCAAATGGCACTAAATAGTCACAATGCATATTGATGACTTATATTGATAATGATTCCTCTGATGTAAAGCCAAAGTATAGAAAAAATATAGCATCTTAACATTGACCTTATCATTATATTTTGTTGTATAATGTTCACTCCCCCCTGGTAAATGGTTCTTTTGCAACAAATAGGCTCCTTAAGTAGATAAGTTGAAAATAATGGGAAAATAAAAGTTGCATCTTAACATTTTACTTATCATGTAGTGTGGACGCGGACGGGGACGGGGACGGGGACGCGGACGCGGACGCCAAGACTATAGCAATAGCTCTCTTGCACTAAAGTGCAGGTAGGTGAGCTAAAAAGCGATTTAAAAACTTTTTACAAAAAAAATCTACTGTGCTTAAGACAAGCAAATTTTTCGTTAAAATCAATGTTCAATTTGGAAACCGAGATTCAGAAGGAAGTAGGTTATCACAAGGAAATGCTGGCAAAAAGAAGGGTTAATCATAAGGCCAAGATGGATAAAGAAACAGCAGAGGAAAAGCAGCATAGGTTAGCAAAGAGAAGATATGCGTACAAAAAAATGGTCAAAGTAAGTACATGCAATGAAAGAGGAAAGAAAAGAGATAAAAGACGTGAAGAATCTCATCAGCAGACGTCGGAAGAGAAAGGATAAGCGAAGGGCTTCTCATAAGCATAGAATTGAAGCGAGCTCCAGCAAGGTACTAGAGAGACGAAGGGAAAATGCACGACTACTTTTGCAACGAGAAACGTCAGAAGAAAAGGAGAATCACTTGGCGAAGCGTAGGGGTGCTTATAAACGAAGAAAAGAAGCAAGTACAAGTGAAGAAAGTGAGATGCAAAGGGAAGAAAATAGAGCTAACGCAAGAGAGAGAAGGCGACGTGAAAGTGTCCAAAAGCGAGCAGAAAGGCTTGAAAATGTGAGGAAATGAGCGAAAAGATCCTATCAGACAAGGTCAATACCACAGTAGGTACAGTCAGAAAACGATCAGGTAAGACTGTGTGAGGAGAATGGTACAAATGATGATGCTATAAGTAGTTCAGACCAATATTTGCATGAAGGTGGCTGGCAAAATGTTGACAACCCCTTGCATGAGCAGGAGTTTGTTCAGAATGAAATGCATTTAGATCAAGAGCATTTAGAGCATAAGCAGTGTACAATTTGTAAAGAGGCCTGGCCAACAAGGCAAAACTTGGCAGCAGATCCCTTCGTTTGTTACTGGTGCAAAAGAGACAAGAAGTCCCCAAAGAATTTCAGTGCTGGCAATGACATGAACCCAGGTATTGTTCCTGAGCAATTGAGAGGTTTGACACAGGTAGAGGAAATGCTGATTTCAAGGGTTTGCCCCACCATGCAAGTTTACAGAAAACATTGTGGGCAAAGGGGCTACAAAGGTCATGTACTAAACTTACCACAGGATATTCAAAGTTTTTTGAATAGGTTGCCTGCACAAGTAGCTGACTTGCCTGTTATGATTGTGTGTAGACAGGGCGCTGATGAAACACATAAAGATTTTACAGTTCGTCGACACAGAGTACTGGAAGCTATATTGTGGTTGAAAACAAACAATCCATTTTTCAAAGACATTGAGATTGACAGGGATTATCCAAAGCCTACCAGAGAATGGTGTCCCTGAAGAGCTAAGGTATGTTATTGATGACAATGAACTTTCAGTTCATGTTGAAAATGAGGCCTTCCCGCAAGAACCTGTAATGAGTGCTAATGCAACAGTTGAAGAATTAGTTTTAGGAAATGGCAGTACATAATTTATTCCTATGCGTCAAAGACAAAGAAGGGATGGTGCAGCTATCCAAGATGCAGTAAATGAGGTTGACCCTTTGGACTGGCCATCTACAGAAGGTAATCCTGTTAATGAATTCAAAACAGATGGTTTGGCAAGCATGGCATTTCCAACACTATTTCCCTATGGGAAAGGTGACCCAACAAACAGAGTCAGGCAACATGAGGTAAGTTTGGCAGAGGCATTCAAACACCTAATGAAGTTTGCAGAGAGGCTACCAAATGGTAAGTTTGAATGGAGGTTTGCCTCTCATCCTCGGTTCCCATACTGGGCAATGAATATGAAGCAGAGACATCAGTTGTTGTCACAAGCTAACATTTACTTGCGGCAACATCCAGCGGATGCAAACATGACTATGGAGGAGCTGAAGACAATGGTGAACTCAAAGAGTGCAAATCAAATGGTAAATCGTTTGCAACGATATGTTTAAAAAATTCAAGGAACAAATCAGTATTGGTGTCAGCGACTGCAAGAACTATTAGCCCTGATTGAACAAAAAGGTTGCCCTACCTTTTTTTTTCACTTTTAGTGCAGCTGATAGCCATTGGCCAGGCATCAAGAACAGAAAGAGCACAAGCAGTGATAGACAATCCACACCTGACGGATTGGTTCTTCATGCAAAGGCTACAGGAGTTCATCAAACATTGGCTTCAAGGTGTCTTGCATGCTGAATGGTTTTGGTATAGGTTTGAATATCAAGCCAGAGGAAGTATACATGCTCATGGATGTGCTAAATTAAAGAATGATCCAGATATTTGATTATTACGTAAACGTGCATGTCAAGCAGTACTCGAAAAAGAGAATGAAATGTCCCCTGACGATTTTGAATTCTCTTGCCAGGAAATTGTCAGAGAGGGTGATGATGCGGAGAGAAAGCTAATTAGGTAGGTTTGTATGTATATCTAAGTATTATAAATGATTTACACTCTCCACATAAATTATGCAAATTGTGTCCAAGGTATAAGTTGCATGTGCATTATTAGAGATCCTTTGTATGTGCTGTAGAACACTTAGTTTTTGCCTACTAATGTTGCAAATTTTGCAATTTGCAAAATACAGCTTCCACATAAATTCACAAAAAAACAAAATTCCGTATATTTTCTTTAGAAATTGATATTTCCTATTGCTAAGGAATTGAGAGTGTAAACAAAGTATTTACATTATAGAGAGATATATATATATAAATTAGGTATATTATAACCATGTTACTTTTTATCCCTTTTAAAGTTATGCATGGCTAGAAATCTGATACAGTTCAGCAGTTTGCCTTGCGGGCGCACAAATGAGTAAGATGTGTAACACGCATGCGTCTTAGCAGCTTAATGTTTAAACATGGCGGAAGGGTTAAGAGACCATGGAGATATTAGAGGAGTATACACTCAATTGCACAACGCTTCATCCGTCGATTTACTGTGGGGAACAAGTGAAAGAAAGCGGACAAGAAAAAATCAAGTATCGACGTCATTTTACCCCGTAGAGAGACTTGTTTCAAAGCGAATGAAAAAGAACTCGGTAAGAACCAAATGTTTTATACTGTATGTTGGTCTAAAGCTGTTCCCATTTTAAATATATTTTGCTATCTACACTACTAGTGTTTTTTGGGCGAGCAAAGTTCATTAAAACCCAACAGATAATGTATTTGCTATAATTATGTTGTCGAGTTTCCATTCGGCGCATATTTTCTACTGTGGGGATTTGTCAGCCTGTATAAAATGTAAATAATGTTAATTAAATAAGTTTATAGTTTATAAATCCAAAATGGCTTTGACTGTTTGAGTCTAAAATTTTGTTACTCAATACTTCTCACAGACCGAATATTTGGTAAAGTGGAAAAATTATAGTGCCTTTGAAAACAGCTGGGAACATGAGGAAAATTTGACAGAAGACCTTATCAGGTACTAGTATGTTTATTAAATTTAGCCAAATAGCCATGGGTTTATTGCTGAGATTTTGTAATTATTGTTGCCTCTTGTAATTGTTCAGGGGCTGATTGTTCAAAAGTGGGTTACCACTAACCCTGGGTTAAAATTTTAACAGTGGGGGCCAGTTGTTCAAAGGTGGGTTAGCACTAACCCCAGGTGAAAATGTAACCCTCTGTTCTAGTTTGTGTATTTCTACATGTATGTTTATTTCAAAACTTCAGAGAGGTGAACTCCTATCTATCCTGAAAAGATCCTTGAAGAATTATTTCTTTTATAGACAGGTTGTCAGAAAGTCTGCTTTGAATTTTAGATTAACCTGGGGTTAAACTAACCCAGCTTTAAACAATAGGCCCCAGTTTTAGTTTCTGTATTTCTGCGTGTCTATTTGAAAACTTCTGAGAAGTAAACTCCTATTGATCCAAACAGGATCTCTGAAGAGAATTGTTCCTGCAAAATATTCTTCATATTTCCAAACATGAAGCAGCAGTGCTTTTACCCTTTAATTTGCTTAAATGCCATACATACCGGTACTATAAATTTTCTTGAGTCTATGGATATATAAAGTTTACTTTATTTACAGATCTTATGACCAGCCAAACATACAGCCAGAAAGGTTGCAAAAGAATCTCGACACATTACATGTTGGTATTCTCTTGAAGTTAAAAAGCAGAAGCAAGAAAAACATTACTATTGACTTTGATCATGATTGCTTTCGTTACATATTTAATGGCAAGGGCAAGCAGTCAAAAGATGGGAAATATCTTTTGTTAGACAAGGCTGATTTTGATAGATGTAAATTTGATGGTAATTGGGATACAGTTGGTGATAAAATTGGTGATGGTGTGAGAGTTAAGTATCCTATCAAGGTCAGAACTGTTCTAACAAAATCACCAAGAAATTTTACGGTGGTTAGTGGGAAGCTTCAGGAAAGTCGTCCAATGTTGCTGGAAAAACTGTCATTTGACTTTATTCGTGAGCCTGTGGTACTTCTACATTAAATATTAGGACTAAGATAATATTTTAATATTTACATTGTTATACAACCAACAACAACTAAGGCCTGTTCTAAACGTTGCATTATACATGTGGCAAATGCATTCAAAACAATGGATAATCAGCTAAAAGACCTGATTGTTTCAAATGCATTTTCCGCATGTAAACTGCGACACTTAGAAAAGGCTTAATTAAATGTACAAACTTATTTCATTATGAAATTGTGGTATCTTTATGTAATGTATCACTGTGTCTTGCTAGTAATGAATAGCATTCAGGTGATCTAAATTAGCCAATCAGAAACTAGGGCTACGAGAAAAACTGAGTTATCATTTCCTTCATCTCTTATAACTTCTGTCCTGGAAACTTTTGAATAATTCTATTATTTTTATACAAAAAGATTTTAATTTATCAATCAATTGTTTATTGAAAACTGAATTTCCCTTATAAACACTTAGGGGCAAATGTGCTAACAAATGCTTCCTAGTAAATGATAACTCAGTTGTGTCATGACGTCACATGATATAATCATTTCAGATCATCTGGCTGTAAGAAGGTCAGATAAAAAAATATGATGCATGGTGATTGATAATGGGTACTGTACATATTACCTCATTTCATGTTGGCAAATTTGTCTTAACTGATCTATCAGTTCTGTCTTTCTTTTTTTGCTATATCCATGTGCACTTCTTAATTTTAATTGTTCCCTTAAAGCAGTAGTTGTCATTTTTTCAAAGTCCATTGCATTGACAGTGCTAAAATGTGGAAGTTCTTGCTCCAGTACTACAGAATGTTGTTCATTACAGTCATCACTTGCCTCCGTGCGCAAAGTTTGCCTTTTCAATCTCTGCCGGTTTTCTTTTATTTCATTATTCCAGTACCCCATGTTTGTTTTGTTATATATCCGAGCCTTTCTTTCATGACCGCGCAATTCCCACTGCCGCTGCTCCATTCGCAACACATCCCCAGTTGAGTCTCTTTTATTTGACTTGCGAAGAACGACACTTCGAGCTACATCATTGTTTTTTTCCACGCCTTGACCTGTAAATTGTTTTATGGAGTGATGTAACTCGAAAAATCTGGGGACATGCTGAACCATAATGTGCATGTAAGGAGTTATCCGTTTCCTTTCATACCCTTCCAATTTGCCATTTAATTGTAAAAAAAGTTTGATCCAATTCTTGGCCTTTAATCCAATATTCAGTTACACTACCTTCTGGCTCCCATTTGTTGATTTGCTGATAAACGACCTGAAAATCTCGCCAAATTTGTGCCACTAAATTGCTTGTCTCTGGATGTAAAAATAAACCCATTTTTTCAGGGAGTTCAGCAAGGAGAATTTTTTTGTCATGCCCCATTAAGCTAGTCCACTCATATTGTCCACTAGTTCTGCCGTTTACATCCCTCTTCTCCCATACGTTAAAGGAAACACCACAAGACCGAATTACCTCAACAAGATTTGAGAGATGAACACCACGCTCATCTCCTTTCATGATGTCCATTTCATCTTCCTTGTCCCAATTTACACATTCGTTTACAAGGTTTTCTAGAAGGACATCAGTAACTCGTAATAAAAGGTGAAGTTCATCGATTATTGTGTGGTTCAAATCAATGTTCAGCAGAGGCTTTTTAGCACAGCAAAAGTTATTTGTTGATTTCTCACACAATTCCTGAATTTCTTCTAAGGATCTGGAAAGTGGGTTCGTGTTAAAGTAACTGTAATGTTGATCCATCCTCCAGCGGTCTATTTTTGGAAGTTTGCACCACGCACACGCATAATCAGAATTTGCTCCTTTGAGGCCAAGCATCAAAAGAATAAATTTATAGTCTCCTCCAAGGAAAAATTCAGTTTTTATATCTTGCCCATCAACCTTGATTTTTCCATTAGAGATTATTTTATTTATTTCCTGAAACACAACTCCAAAAGATTCCTCCATAGTTTCATAACTTTCTTTTCCATCCACTACGGCAATTGTTCTATTACCTTTTGCAGACATGACATTTTCGCCTGTTTGAAGAAGAGAAAAGGACAATAAAATGAAATTGGAAGTTCTAGTCATTACTGCACCATCACCACTGATTTTGATCTTGATTGTGTCTGCTGACACATTAAATTCTGGATTCTGTTCAACAAAATCTTGAATGTGTGTGCTAAACATATTTTCAACTGAACTAACTTTGGCTCCTTTGTACTCTCCTTTGAGTGGATCGATATGGCACATTTTATTTAATTCTTTGCGACATTGTTTGACTAGGTAAGATCTTGGTAATCCTTCAACAAGCATGGATAACTCGTGGTAGAATACATCACCAACACAGAATTTGTCCACTAAAAACAGTATTTGCTCTACTTTAGTTTTGTCCTCAGGTGATAAATTATTAAACTTTGGCAAGGATGCATTATTTCTCTCTTCATTGCTTGGGTCAGAGGGCTCACTAGGAATGCTTTGCTCACATTTTAAATTATGAATCTCCCCAGAAACAGTTTCTTTAACAGCAAGGCTCTCCAGTTCAATGCCAAATGAACTGGAGAACCACAATGCAACTTGTGCCCGTGACAAAAACGACTTTAGGGTTCTTGTTTTGTTTTTCACATCAGATACTGACTTTCCTTTGTATGCTGATATTCCTATACTATTTTCCAGAATTTGAGCATATTGTTCCAGTTCTCTGTTGTTCTTTTGCAACTCGGTAATCATTGTGTCCTTTTGTTTAATAGTGGTGGCCATCTCATTGTAGAGTTTCTCTTTCTCTTTTTCCAAATTTTCATACTTTTTTCGAAATTCTGTTAGTTCATCATTCACATTATTAAGCTCATTATGCACGTTATTAAGCTCCTCTCGTAGTTTTATGACAGACATAGTCTGGCCCTCAAAAACATGGAATTTGCGAACTCTCTCGTCTAAATCTTTCCTTGCCCTCCCCTTCGTCTTCTTGTACAATTGGTAAACACTGCTAGCAATCTTGGATAAATTGATGTCAATTTCATTCCTCACAACTTCATCATCTGTGAAAGCGAAAAGGCCACCAGCAATACATTTTTCCACAAGCCAAACGTAGGTAACTCTGTTATGTTTGCATTGGCAATTCGAAACATCGTTGTTCTCATCTGGGTTTTTCGGATTTGAGCTTTCTTCGATTCCACCAACATTCTGTACAATATCATACCATTTCTTTATGAGGGGATATGGCAATACCAATGTACAAATAATATCTCTCACTTTTTCCTTTGCAGCATAGCTTAGATCAGGTTGGCTGACCACAACAGCTCTTTCAAACGACGAGCGAATTTCGCGGGTGAATTCGTCCGACATTATACTTTCAAATGAGAATTGCGAAATGTTTACGTTGTGCTTTTAAGGATTACTATGGATACTAAAGGATAATAAGGATTACTAAGGGTTCCAAAGGAAGGGGAAAACCCAGAAAAAAAGATGGCGACAATTTTTATAGTTTGTTGGCGAAATTGCCTTGCGAAAGAAGCAAAGTTTTGGAGATTTCCTTCGCCATTAAAGCAAAATGGCATGATACAAGAAAGATGGATATATTGCTGTTCTTTGAAGGCTTTTGGAACCAGGTAGGCAATAAAACATGCATTAAAAATGGACGGGAACTTGTACATCGGCATGTAAACAGTGCTTTTGAACTTGTGGAGACCGGCCATTGCATTTAGAGTATTGTCTATAGAAGCGTTTGTGCATCGAATTTGCGACGTACAAGAGATAGAATATGGCGTTTCTATGAGGCTCTGGCCACAATTTACATGAGCAAACGGAACTACTTTCTTCAAACAATGCGAGCCATAATCCGGTATTTTTTGGTCGTATATGTCATGAACTTCAAGCTAAAACTTGTGGAGACTGAGAAAAACTTCCTAAGGGAACAAAAATAAGTTATTTTTTGCATTTCCAATGTAATTTCTATTATGAATCGTCTCGAAATTGACACATTGCGCGTGCGCGTCCGCCCTGGGCGGCCATACTGTATCAGATTTCTAGGCATGGTTGACTGGCTTGTGACCACAGTTAATGATGATCTGCCTGATGAGAACTGGACAGTACCAGATCCACAACCTTCGGCTGTGAAAGCCACATCAGTTGATAATCATGACATTGATTATCACAGGTTATTAAATTCGGTAGAGAGGCATACCAGATGCAGTCCAGCCTATTGCCTGAAAAATAAGAGGTTTGACCAGCCTGCAGAGTGCAGATTTGGGTTCCTAAAACCATTACAACTGCATTGATTTATGATGTACGAGGCAAGAAAAATAAATCTGTACACTCAGAGTTGCAAACCAAGAGAAATGACGAGAGGCTGAATTCCCACAACAGGGTCATGGTTGAAAATTGGCGGGCCAATGTAGATTTACAGGTAATTGTGGATGAAAAGGCATGTGCAAGATATATCGCCAAGTATGCAGCAAAAGGAGAACCATGATCAAAATCTGCTTCTGATATACTGATGTTGTCTGTATCTTCATTACAGAATGATGGCCAAGTGTCTTCTGCAATCAAGAAAGCAATGATCCAAGTTGCTGGTGATAGAGACATGGCTGCCCAGGAGACTGCCCATATGTTACTCAGTTTGCCTTTGGTAGGCTGTACATATAGTTTTGTTACTGTTTCTTTAGAAAACAGCAGAAAAGTGATCCTTGATGCAGAAAATCCACAAGAGGAAGTACTTCAGAATTCTGTCCTTCGAGATTATGGAGAGCGGACAAAAGTGGAGAGTAGGTACAAGGGGTTATCTCAGTTAAATTTGATGCAGTATGCATCTCAGTTCACAAAAGTCAGAGGTGAGTTGACAAAACAAGTTCATTAACACATATGCTTCATTTCTTCAGACAGATTTTGCAAGAGACTATGTATTTGGGTATTCTATTGAAACAGAAATGGTCCATGCTGCACAGACAGATGAAACATATGGAACTGATGAAAGTAGTGATGAAAGCGATGACGAACAGGATCAACCTAATGAGGAAGAGCAAATTGAGGATTGGATGTTGCTATGTAGACTCAACCAACATTATGAGGATGCAGGAAATCAAATGGCAAATAACAAAGCAGTTGATTGGTTCGAAGCAGCAAGAGGTGTGCCTGGGGATTTGTTAAGAGAATCTGCTGGGTGGATTTCTAAACAGAGAAAGGATGCAGAGGAGCAAGGTTTGCAGTATCAAACAGGTGACCAACAAGTGGTGGTTGACCCAGGGACCTTGAATGACAAACAGCGACTGGCATTTGACATTATCACTGCATCCATGGCTAATGATGAATGTGAACCGCTACATATGATTGTAAGTGGTACTGCTGAAACAGGTAAGACATATTTAATTAGTGCCCTAAAGGAAGTATTGCAAGGCCAATGTATTGTGACAGCAACCACTCGAATTGCTGCATTCAGTATTGGTGGTCACACTTTGCATTCCGCAGCTCAACTTCCGATTCGGAAATACAGAGAATTACAGGGCGATTTCTTACAGAGATTGCAGCTCAGATTGGAAGGTAAGACATTTCTCATTATTGATGAAATATCAATGATTGGACATAAGATGCTTTCATGGCTTGACAACAGACTACGTACAGGTACAGGAAAAGAGGATGTCCTATTTGGTGGCATGTTGATTATCCTAATGGGGGATTTCGGCCAGTTACCTCCTGTAGGCGATAGGCCAATGTACATTGCAGGTAATGGATCCGTAATCAGTGACCATGGTCACAGTATGTATTTGACATTTGATCGTGTAGTCATTTTAGCGCAGGTCATGCGACAGATTGGTGAAGACTCAGAAGTAGTTGCATTCAGGGTGGTATTGATGAGAATGAGAGATGGACAAGTTACCGAGATGGACTGGAGACTATTAATACAGCACTCCAGACCTAACGTATCAATGAATCAATTTAGTTACGCTATTCGGCTGTACTTTGATAAAAAAAGTGTCGCTGAATATAATTATGAGAAGTTGCTAGAGATTGGACAACCATTGGTCAAAATTCAAGCAAGGCATTCTGGTCGGGGTGCAAGTGCGGCAACATCTGATGAAGCAGGTGGTTTGGAAGCTGTTCTCTTTTTGTCAACCAAAGCAGAAGTGATGCTGACATGTA